CTGCAAATCCCTCCCCGGTGGGATCTGTACCGAGAGCCATCTGGAGATCAGCTACTAGACCAGAGGCCCCAGAGCACGACCCTGCTCTGTTTAGGGCTGCGTGTCGCTGTTTTTGTTCTCAGTTCCCTTCTTTCGCTTTGGCTTTTTTTTTTTTTCACAGTCTTCAAGGGGTTTTTTTGAAGTGGTTTTGCAGTTACCGTGTTAGTGTCTTTATTTTGTTCTAAACTGCCACGTACAGCTTCGCTTGTGACTTAATCCCCTCTGCAATTTCTGTAAACAGCTAGTTTCAATTTGCCTTTTTTTGACTTGACTCTATTAAAAAGGCAAGAAAATGCCATTTGAATCCTGGCCCCGATTCCGGGGTGGAGGGGAAGCTAAACCAGAGGGGGTCAGTAACGACAGAAATCGGGTGAAACATCACAACATGGTTTTTTACCATTTAAGCCCAGGGGTGAAGTATGTCAGAGCTAGACTGGATGAGACTGGCCATGAGCCGGCCGTGTGTGCTGGCAGCCCCGAAAGCCAGCCGGATCCTGGGCTGGATCCAGAGCAGCGTGGCCAGCAGGGCGAGGGAAGGGATTCTGCCCCTCTGCTCTGCTCTGGGGAGACCCCACCTGGAGTGCTGCGTCCAGCGGTGGAGCCCTCAACATCAGAAGGATATTGACCACTTGGAGCGAGTCCAGAGGAGGCCACGGAGATGCTCCGAGGGCTGGAGCACCTCTGCCATGGGGACAGGCTGGGAGAGTTGGGGGTTCAGCCTGGAGAAGGGAAGGCTCTGGGGAGACCTTAGAGCCCCTTCCAGTGCCTGGGGGGCTACAAGAAAGCTGAGGGGGACTTTTTCCAAGAGCAGGGAGTGACAGGACCAGGAGTAACGGTTTTAAACGGAAAGAGGGAGATTGAAATGGGACATCAGGAAGAAATTCTTCCTGGAGATGGTGGAGAGCACTGGGACAGGTTGCCCAGAGAAGCTGTGGATGCCCCATCCCTGGGAGTGTCCAAGGCCAGGCTGGATGAGGCTTGGAGCAACCTGGGCTAGTGGAAGGTGTCCCTGCCCTTGGCAGGGGGGTTGGAACTGGATGATCTTTAAGGTCCCTTCCAAGCTAAACCGTTCTGTGATTCTATGAGCTGTTCTTGCAGAAACCACTGATGGGATCATTCCCTTTTCCACATCCAGCCTTGTTTCCAAGGCCGCAGGGCATTGGTGTTACACCTTTTGAAGATGGTAACATAGGCTCACAGGAAGGATGCTCACTCTACGGTCAGCGGACACCTGAACCCTCGACCCTTTCAGAAGACACAATGCGATCTCTTCATCTCCCTCAACAACTGATTCCTCACCAGTGTTTGATATCCCATGGGAACTTCCCGGCTGTTTGCCCACCTGTGTGTCAGCAAAGTACAGGGAAGGCTTCAAGCCCCGCTCTGGACACAACCAGTGGTCGTGCACCCTCCCCAGCCCACTGCCTGCCATGTCCCTGGAGATTTTCTTCCTATTTTTTATCTCCTCTCCTTTCCCCTCCTGTTGCTGTGGGGTGAGCACTGTCTCTTCCGTGTTAACTCAGGCCAGAGGGATCTGTTTGTCCATCACAGGCCCCTCGGTACACAACCAGACCCGGTGGTGTGGACCGGCAGCGTGTCCTGGCAAGCGGCCCATTACCCAGCTTGTCCCCCGTGCCTCGGGGGTCGGGAGGGACAAACAACGTGTCCGTATTTCTGCCAACTGGACCTCTCCCTGTTTGTGCCTCTGGGTACATCCCTCGTCAGCTCAATTCCTGAACTGCAGGTTGAGGAAGTTGCTGGAGGGCAGAGCAGATGCCAACCTGGTAAAACTGCTTCTTTTTCCCCTCCAAAAACAGAACTGGGGAGGAAGGCCACGGCCCATGCCATGACGCAGGCGTGAAGGAGGTGAATTCCCAGTGACACCAGTGCGTCCCCTTCCCTCGGTGGCTGACTGACACGGGCCACTGCGCGTCCCCGATAGGAGCCTGCCTGCTGCGCAGATTGCTTCCTCTGCTGGGAGGATAAGGATCTTTTAATAACCTCATGGTGAGATCACAATCATGAGACTCTTTTTCAGGGCATCCCCTACAACCGCTCTAAGAACTCCTCTCGGTGAGCAATCCCAGCTCGGTACCGCTCTTAATGTCAGGAATTTACTCACAATTTCACTTCTGCAATTTTGTTTGCTTGAGGAACGGCCATGTCGAAGCCCCCCCGCCGTGTAAACCGGCTGACTTCTACAGCCGAACTTTCCCTGCACGCCAGCTGGGGAGCAAAGGGGGTGTTTGGGCAGGAGGCAAAACTGGAGGTGGGAGATCCCGAGTGCCTTGGTTTGGCACTGCCAGGCAGAGCACAAACGCAGAGGAGACGTCAGGGTCCCGCTCCAACGCAAGAGTCGGGAGGCTACTGGGAAGTGGCAGTTGAGTGGGTTCACCCGTAACTCACCAGTGCTTCTGTCTGGGCAACTCCGGTTCCCTACGGCGAAGGGGAGAAACGCTTCCTGGCACTTCAGGTCGGCAAAAGAGCAGAACAGCCGAGTGGAGAGCAGGGGAACACAGCTGGCGTTTCCCTGGGTGCTCCATGCTCTCTCCCTAGGGAAGAGAAGGGCAGGTCAGCGGATTGCAAGGGACCTACGGTACCTGGACTGAACTGTGATGCTTTTACTTGTATGTGAAACCTTCTCCCGTGCTCAGCTTGGCGCTGGACCGCCGTCGTGTCCGTCTGCCTACCTGGAACTGCTCGTGCCGCTCTCCCCGTGCTGTGAGCCGATCCCTGCAGCGGTGCAGGGGGTCTGGTGCAGCCGTGGACAGAGCTGGATGCGGCTGCGTGGACTCTCCACCCGCTGAGAAACTCTTATTTCAGACTGTTCCCATCTCGGTTCACTGAAAGCAAAATTGGAAAACACAGGAAGGCTTTGAGCTGAGGATGTCAAAACATCTTGTGTGGTGCTTTTCTCAGAATGAACTACACCTTGCTAAAGCGTGGCAGAGCCTCACCAGTTCTGCTTTCTAAGATCATACCCCTGTTACTCCCACAGCCCCTGCCTGCTGGCCAGGCACCATCTCCCATGAGGCACGGGGGTCCCTTTCCGTCTTGGTGGGGCCCCTGTGTGACTCACTTGAAGGAGAAACTGCCAGAAGTTCACCTTCACACACGGGACACAGATGTGACATACAGGAACTGAATTCCCGTAAAGTATTTCCTTGCTACAGGAGCAGCAATTTAATGGCAGATCAAGTCAAGATGACTTGATCGTTTCAATTCAGTTCAGCCAATTCAGTGTTTCGGTTCGAGTGGAACCAACCTGAACTGAAATCTTTCTTTCTGAGCCAACTTCCTGTGGAATTTATTAGGAACTGCATTTTCTGTTGAGAAGGGACACTGATGAACAACTGCCATCGAGCTCGAGTACTGTGACCTGAGCAACAGATTTCACTCACTGACACCCACTCTTGCAGCGGAGGCGAGCAGAGTAACCATGGAAAATAACTGGTGACTTAATTAATTTTTTTAATAATTAAACTAACTTCAGGGTAACAAATGTGTTCTAGTGAGCCAACAGCAGAGCATGATGCTCGGGCACCGATCCGGCCTCGCGCTGTGGAGAAGCGCGGCGTGTTTGTTCCTGCAGGATCACGTTTTTGCAGGAGAGCTCACGGGGCACACGTGTGTTAAAGGGATGATGTCAGGCAGAGCCACTGAGGCATGAAACTGGCTGCAAATATACACCATCCAATTCAGCAAAGCTTTAATAAATGCTTTGAGAACTCCCCAGGTACAAAACATGACTGTGCAGAAGGTGCAGCGTCATAAAGACACGGCAAGTTGTTGATTTTGAAGCGTGCCCATTCTTTTTTAAGGAAAACCAATTTACTCGAATTGGCTCTGACAACACAGAACGTGGCGTGTGCCTGCATTCTGAAGTTAAAGCTTGGGAGTATGTGCAGAAAACAAACTGCAAACCACCTGCCTGCTGCCTCTCCTCCTTGGCTCCGTCCACCCACCGCGGAGCTGGGGATGGACTCCCCGAGATGTTACAGCCCCCTCCCCTCTCTCTGGGAGCAGGGTGAATACAGAGCAAATCTAAGCGACTGTGCCCCCCTCTGCGTACCCCCCACTCCCAGAGACAGCACCGTGACTGCCTTTGAAGGCTTCACACCCACTGTTTCTGAGTATTCTGCCTGTACCCCAGAGCAGCCTTTCATCTCGAGCCCTTCCTGGCGGAAGCGGTTAAAGACAAAGCTCTCAAAGGCAGCGTACCTGCCTGGATAGCTGATGAACAAAAGGAAAACAGAGCAATAAATAGACCTGCAGAGCTGTGCACTGCACCCGCCTACCGCGATAAGGCGAACGCGAGCGTGCTGCCAAGCCAGACGCGTGCTTAGAGCGTGCGAAGGAAAGCGCAGGTCGCCCTCCGCGAGCCAAATACAAACACCACAAGCCCCTGCGCATCGGCTACCCCCGATCAGAACCCCAGTGCCGCTGGCCTGCTGAGAGGGAAACCCTGAGAAGGTTTTTAAGTGTCAGCTGGGCTGGCACAATGTCTCGGGAGGGTCTGAACTGTGGATGGGTGTTGGCGTAGGATCTGAGACCACCGGCAGGATCCCTGACTTTCCTCTTGTCCCTTCACCACAGACAATTTCTCATCTGTCAGTGCAAAAGCAGAACCCTCATTTTACCAAGTCTCGGTAAAAACTGCTTGTGTGCAGCCGTCGGCTGCGCGCCGAGGAAGCACCTGAGCACCCCGAGTGCCTGCAGGCAGCGCGGCACGCAGCACGGCTTTCCTGTACTGGGGAACGCGCCAGGAGGAGGAGGAGGAGGGTCTACGAAATGTCAGCGACGCCGGGTGCGTCACGAGCTCCCCGTAGAGAGGCAGGAAGTATAAAAGACAGAGTTTCCCAAAGAGGGTCCCTGGCAGGAGCTGCGGCGCGTTGAGGCTGTGCTGGAGCAGACGATGCTCTAGCCCATCGTGTGACTGCAGCTCTGTTGGAGACCAGACCATGGATGGTGGTGAGTACCTGCTCCGCAGCCTCTGGCTGTGTCTCTGGCTTTACTGATCATGCCCAAATTCATGCCCCATGACACAGGGATGAAGCACTTCAGATAGAGTAGTTAAACAATAAAAAAGGTATTTCTCCTTCTACTACTGAAAAAAAAAAAAAGGTGAAGTTCTCTTTTACAAGGTCAAAAAATTCTTGATTACTTCAGAAACAGACACACAGAACAGGCTTGGGGCAATTTCAAGGGGCCATTCTATCCCAAAGCAAATATACAAATTATGTGAGAAGAGCTCCTTTTCTTCCACATTCTTAATAAAAAATGAGAGCCAACGCCTCCTCCTTGGCAACACCTAAATTCAGTGAATAAATCATTAGGAGCAAGCGCATCTGAGTGTATTGTTGGCTACGTCTCTGCAAATTGTCTCATGCAAATTGTTTCTATTAATGAATAACTTCACTACAGCAACAAAACTGCTGGAGAAGTTCGGGGTTTGGGTTTGCTCGGAGCTGGATCAGCCCCGAGGCAGTGCCCTTGCACAGGCCGTATTCCCATGGATTGCACGTCGCCAAGCACGTGGGGAAGAGCAAGCGAGAAGCCTCTTCCCTCTGGCACATGACATGCCATTAGGCACAAGGCAGCTGGTTTCTGTTCCTTGCTGAAAGATTTGAATCCTCTGTTGCCGTGCGTTACCGCTCCTTCTGCAGGCACCAGCTACCCGGAGCACCAGGAGGTGGGTGGCCGTAGGAGGGGAACGGCACTGTGGGCCGGAGACGTGGCAGATAAGGTGCAGGCTCCTCTTCCCCCGTAAGACAAGGATTTACTCCTTTTTTTGCTCGTTTTGGGGGGTTTTATTGCTCAAACATTTGCAAACACCTAACCCCAGTGTGACGGAGGTGCAGGGAAGAGAGACGAAGGCAGTAGCTTACAACCCGAGGAACCACGCTGGGATTACACCGCAACCGGTGCCTCTCGGGCAGAGCACGGTCAGCGCTGTCGTAGGGACAGGGAACGCGACGGGCAGCAGTCACGGAGCTCATCCCAGCGAAGCCTGGTTCAGGGTGTGAGGAGTTAAGCTTTCTAAGAGGATGAAATGGGAGGTATTGCTGCCTTCTCCCTGTGACATTTTCAACGCTCTGACTGGGATGTGAGTGGCTTCCCCAGGCTGGGAGGTGTAGGTGTCCCGTGTGAGGTGCTGCAGGCAGACGAGAGACAGTCTGTGAATACACCAATTTGAGCACCCCAATTCCCTGCAGGTGCCTCTGCCTGTAGCACCAGAGTATTAATTTCCTCAAAAAAGAAGAGGGCAAGATGCAAAAACTTGAAGCGACTCACGCAGGATCCCACAGAGAGCTGGTCCGGTACAGCCGGGGAACAACCGCTTCTGTCCATATCTCTGTCCAGTGTTTCAGCTCCCAAACTACTCCTCCTTTTCCAGGCAGGGATTTCTCCCCTTGCAGGGGCTGCGGGGATCTCTGGATTAAGCAGAGGGGTGCTCCACGTGCCGTGGCCGAACGTGAAGCCACATACGGTGCGGCTGGTGCTGAAGCCTGCGCTGAGCAGCAGACGGGGAGCTCAGGGTCTCCCAGCCTCTGCACTGACCTGGGGGTGCTGTGGGGGTGCCAGCTGGAGGCGCTGGGGCCCACAGGACCCCCCCAAGGCAGGGAAGTGATGCATTCTCCTGGATGCATCCTTCCAGCTCCTAGCCATCAAAGGCTTAGGAAATCCCTGAATTTTGGAATCTGCATCCAACCCAACCCCTCATAACCTGGCTGGACCTATTCACCACCCGCTTCAAACTCTTGGCCTCTGCAACATCGTGCAGGCGCTTTGCAGGTTCCTGGTTTTAGGGTGCTCAGTATCCGGGGGACAGCCGTTATTCTGATTCAGCTAATTGGTAAAGGTTAATTATGACAGGAAAAAGAGAATTAGTGAGAACCTGACAAGAATTTGTCATCGTACGACAACTTTCCCGCTTTGGGTTTTTTGTCCTGCTGTTGTATTTCAGAGGAACATTCCAGAAGTGTTTCACAGCACTGGAAGATGCACAGCATTACTGCCTTTTGGGGTTTTTATGGTTATATAGGAACCTGGAACAGGCTGCCCAGAGAAGCTGTGGATGCCCCATCCCTGGAAGTGTCCAAGGCCAGGCTGGATGAGGCTTGGAGCAACTTGGTCTAGTGGAAAGTGTCCCTGCCCATGGCAGGGGGTGGGGCTGGGTGGGCTTTGAGGTCCCTTCAACCCAAACCAGCCCGGGATTCTATGGACTTGATTGGCTCACTTTAAAAATTCATTCTTAACTTGCTTATCTCTGCTTATCTTGCCTTTTGATTCACAATTTCCTAAAAGGGGTGGAGGCAGATAATTATTAACTTTCTTCTACTACAGGTCTATGAACACATGAAGTAAAATTCTGCTCCACTGTTAACTCCCAGAATGATGGTCTCCTTCCCCTGCTGTGAGAAGTTTAGGGAAGGGGGGAGAGAACAGGCACCGTTAACTGCCAATAGTCATTATATCACTGAAGTATGATTAATTTTTCTCAGAAGTAGTCGGTTCTTTCCCCAAAAGCCTACTACACCGATAGTGAAGAGGCACCAGAAACTGGTACACGTTGAAAGATATAAACAGCACGTTACTCGCTGCCTACACATGTGCTACGGTGCTCGAGACCAAAACTTTTGCTTTGTGGTTTTAGCCAACAGAAAAACATTCTTTCACCAGGAGGGTTCAGCCAGGCTTGCTCGGCTTTGCCAACGCTCCCCAAAGCATTCCCGACTCCCGCTTTTCACATCGCGCGTTCCCAGCCCCCGCCGCTGCTCCTCCACACCGGCTCTGGTCAGAGGCTGACCTGCTCGGGGAGGAGCTGACCCGGGGCTCCGTCCTGTAGGGTTTTGTGTCCCACAGGGCTGTGTTTCTGCTCCTCGTCGGGGCAGACTTTTTGCTACCAAGTATTTCTTACTGTCAGAAGCTTTTCTGGGCGTACCTGGGGGATTCACTGCTACTGCGGCTTCCTTTATCTTGCTTAAGGTTAGCTGCTGACGCTGGGGGAGATTCAGATCAACAGGACGGGATTCATCTGTCCCTACCCACCCTTCTGCCATAGCATGGCATGAACTAGCTGCTACCCCAGGACAGCTGGACGGTGCCTAAAAACACCCATTTTTTCCCCTGCGCTATCAAGGGAAACTGAACAACCAACCAGATGCCAGCAGGATGAATCCCACCCCTTGTGCTCACTCCACGGAGTGAGGCTTTCAAAACCCACGGGGCTGCTGTCCCCTCTCCCTCTTCCATCGTGGAGCAATTCTCCTCTGCACACCTTCCCAGGGCCCGCAGGACAGGAGCTTGTGCGAGCTGCAGCACGGCAGCGCATCACCCGCCGAGGGACCTGGGGGCTGACGCGGGGCTCTCGAACGAGTCTGACTCATTTTCTGCAGTGGGTTTGTGTTGTCTTTTTATAAACCAGGTTTCTGGTTCAGTTTGCAGGGACTTTTGAGAGGGGGTTTTTTATTCTTAATATTTTGAGGAACAAAACTTGAGGAAAATACCCACAGCAGAGAACTGCCAGAGGGCAGAGGGAAAAAGAAAGAAAGAAAAATTTAAGAAAGCTACCTAAAAGTGCCTATTAAACTCCAGAGAGCACCTCATTTCCTCTCCGCAAAGCGTTTGCTTCTGCTTCCCCCTCCCTCTCTCCCCAGACCCTTACGAGCATGCAGGGAAGACGTGAGTGTCGCCCAGTCCACCTGAGACTGGTGACGCAGGGACTTGCCCACCGAGCTGGTGCGGAGGGAGGACGAGGCTGCAGCACCGCTCTGGTCACGGCTTTGCGAGTGCGTAAGCTGGGGAGGGGGGACGGGGGGGGGAGAAGAAACAGCACAAGCTTTTTTTTTTTTTAATACTGAAAATCATTTGACATTTAAGACACCTGAAACAGCAACAGAGAAAAAAAGTGTGAAGATCTTCAAAGGAATGACACTTACTGAACTGTTTCAGGATCGTTAGTTGAGTCACTCCATCAGCCCTATTTCGTTAGGCACATCAGCGTGTTAAGAAAGAAAAGAGCAGAGCAGCAACTCCCCGCACGCTCATGAGGTTTCAGATTAAGTAAGGACTGGGCTGGTTCTGGGGCTTGATGGGGAGATGGAACAAAAAGGAGGGGAAGATGGTACCGTGCTCAGGGGCCAAGCGCCCAGGGCCAACCGTGCTGGCGATCGGGCTGGCACAAGGAACCACGTGTCCTTGGCATGAGACCCCTGACATGTGAACCGAGTGATGCTGGGAGCAATGCACCGACGGCGTCGGATTTAGATTGGATATCAGAAAAAAGTTCTTCCCAGAGGGGGCAGGGAAGCACTGGGACAGGTTGCCCAGAGAAGCTGTGGATGCCCCATGCCTGGAAGTGCCCAAGGCCAGGCTGGATGAGGCTTGGAGCAACCTGGTCTATGGAAGGTGTCCCTGCCCACGGCAGGGGGTGGGACTGGGTGGGCTTTAAGGTCCCTTCCCACTCAAACCATGCTGTGATATGATTTAGGTTGGTGCCTTTCCTCTGTGGCCCTTCTCCCTGCCTACTTTTTATACGGCTCATAGGAAATTAATCGCCTTTGAGGCCCCAGCCCCTGCTCGGTGTGACAGGCTAGGACAGCTAATAAGCCTCCGTCACCAGGCACAGGTAGACATAGGGACCAACTCCAGGAGTCACTGGAAACCAGGCTATTAGGAAGGTGGAAAAGAACTCCAAAGGCTCCAATGGCTGGTTTTTGCAAAGGTCAGGGACCCCGTGCCTGTGTCCCAGGCAGGAAGGGCAATTACAGTCTGGCTTAAGTTCACCCATCAAGTTTAAGTGGTGTGGGCTCTCACTGCATTTCCTGTGTGTCAGACGCAGAAGTTAAAGCAGAGGCTGAAGGGAGAGATGGCTAAGCCAGATGCTCACCAAACCCCTTCCCGCAGTCTGGGACTGGTGAGAAAGCCACTGGGCATACGGAAAATACAGCCAGAAGCAGTTAGCCCAGTTACCCCCTCACACCCAACCTTGGCCTGCTCCATTCCTGGCCGTAGCAACGCACCATTTCACTCTGCAGATTGCCCCGGGAGTCAGAGGAGGTGAGGGGTGTATGAGCGTAACTAAGCACCCAGCTGTACACAGGATGGAAGTCAGGGAGGAAGGCCAGGCACAAGCTCTGCAAGCCAGTGGGAAGCTCATGTACAGGCTCTGGGGATGAGCAGTACGAGTTGTTTTCACATGTGGCTGAGGATCTCTCACCCACACACCACCCCTCACGTACAAACAGCACCTCTAATTACAGACACCAAAGCAACTTTCAGTCATTAACGATGCTATCGCACGTGCCAGCGTGGGGGTGCCGGCACAACGGCTGCAGTTACCCAAAGCAGTGGAAGCTCATCATCCTGGTCCAGTGCAACGCCTGCCCAGGAGACTGGCAGAGCAGGGCAGGGTGCAAAGCAGCCCTGCAAAGGAACAGAGCAGAGCTGCGTACAACGGGCTGCAAAGCACAACAGGGGCGAAGGAATGCAACAAGTTTATGAACAAACAGGCTTATCCACAGGGAGAAAGCCACGCTCCCTAGAAGAAACAGGCAGCTGAAGTCAAAGGCATCTCCTGCCTCTGCTCCAGCCTTGCTCAGTGATCCTGGATATCAGCAGGGAAGTGAGGGCTGCAGCATGGGGAACCAGCCAGTGCCTAGAGGGGCATCCCAGAAGGAGCAGTGTGAAGCTCCAAGCAGCAGACGCCAGCTCTCCCTCAAGGAAGGACACATCTGCTCACGCCAGAGGCGAGGGCTTTCTCCCAGTTAATTGCCAGATCACCACCTAGCCTGAGCAACTTTCAGTCACAACTGTCTGAGGTAAACACTGCTACATGCTTTAAATAGAGCAAAGAGAAAGCTTTCACTGGCCTCTGTGCCTCTGCTAACCACAGCAGGAAGAACTGTTTGTCTGAGATTGCTCTCACCATTATCACATCTGGCTCCGAATTTAATTTTTCCTCCCAGCTGTCAGCATCCTGCGTCTCCGCATCCCAGAGCAGCAGAAGCCAACGCTGACATTTAGAGACAAGCAATAAATTTCAGCTGGCTTCAGTCAGGTATATCCTGCAGGGAGCAGAGCTTTCCTGTTCTGCAGTGCTGCCACCACACTCTCAGGGAACAGCTGGGCCAGATTTATTGCACTCACAGCTCTAGGTTTTCACACGGGTTGGGTATCCCACTCCCCCACAGCTCAGAACAAGGCACAGGCTGCTGACTGCCTTCAGCCACCAGCCTTTACAGATGAAACTGGGGGGGCCCAGACTCCTGAGACTTTATCTGTGCCCTGACAACACCCTGTTACGTGTCCCTGGATTATCCTGTTAGCATCTGCACCCGGTTTTAGTTGCCCCAGCTGTGGGGAGCTTTGCAGGGTTGAGAATGCCATGGTCAAGTGCTGCTTTTTCAAAGTGAGCACCATGTGGAACCCCCTCCCTTCAAGTGCTAACACTGATCCAGTGTCTCCTTCTTCTGCAGGCAAGCAGCTAAAGGTCACCCTTGTCTTCAGCCTTCCTCTAATTTTTCAGGTAAGATGTGAAAAACAACATTGTTGAGATCCAGCTGCATTTGTGACGTGGGTAGAGGGAGATCTCAAAATCTTTGAGAGGCAAACAGCAGCCACCCACAGCCCTGCAGAGATGTGCGGGGACACGGCTGCTCACACCACGGGTCCAGCGCGTACGGGGGTGGGCGGTGAGAGAGCAGAGTGGTGCCAGAGGGAAAGCAAACAAAAGGAATGACAAAGAGAACAGCACCAGTGACGTACGCTGTGATTTTAAGATGGCCTGGCTGTTAGAACCGAGTCCCCTTCTAGCACCAAAATGAGCATTTTCAGGAAAGCCAAGAGCATCCTATGCCGGGTGCTTGGGAAGAGCCAGCTTATTGCTCTGTGGAAATACCAGGTCAAAGCGCTTGGCTTTACCCGAGGTCAGTGTCGAAGAGCTGGTGCGCCCAAGGAGGAAGAGTTCACAGCATCCTCCTCTGCCTGTTCCTGCTCAGAGTAAATCTGAGGCGGGAAGGAGAACCCAAAGCACAGAGCTGGGCTGTGACCTGCGCCGGAGCCGCGCTCCCACAACCACAGGAGCAGCTTCAGCTGCGCCGCAGCCCCCAGCTCCAAGAGGCTCAGCAGAGCAGGGAGAGTTTGCAGCCCACTGCTTTTCCCTTTCACTTCTGGTGGCATGCCTCCAGTGAGCAGGCAGGATGTGGTGAAAGCCAAGCCTGCCCCAGATGGAGCGCGCGCTAAGATACTCACTGATAACAGCAGAGGTATCCAGGGGAAACCTTTCATCTCTCTGCAGTGGAGAGCAGGTACTGGAGACTAATAAGTGACAAAAAAGCAGGGCACAGATACCACAAACTCGCTCTGCCCTGTAGGTTATGGCAGTGTAGGAAGATGAAACAAGAATAATCAACTTCCATCAGGGCAGGGACCTCAATGAGACACCAGCAACGTGTCTGTGCCAGCACGGTAACAGTTTCCTGCTTCCCTTGCTGTGCTTCCTCTCAGTCTCACTGACACCTCTATTAATTTAGCAGAGAAGGCAGCCCAGGGAGGCTCCAGCTCAGTCTTCCCACAGAGCCCTTGGCTCGCAGGGCTGCTCCAGCCGCTCAGCAGCCTCTCCCCTCGGCGGGGGCGGCAGCAGAACCAGGAAGCCCGGGAGGACACCGATGCCTGCCGTGCCAGGCTGCTGTCGTGACAAACACAACCACTGCAGCCCTCTTCTAGCACTGTCACAAGCGAGAGGGGACGGGAGCAACGGGAGCATCGCGGCGGGAGAGAGGAGGGAATAGCAAAGTCAGAAAATGCCAAACGAGTGGAGTCAGCCAAGAGGAAACGTTATCCCTCCTGAGAGGGGAACGCTGACGGATACGTTATCTGAGAACGCTGATGGATGTGTTGTCTTTCCCGGTCCAGCTGACAGGTGACTGTACCTACAGCTGTACATGGGTCCTGAAACACTCTGGAAAGCAGCCACACGTTTGAGAGTTTGCAGGTGTTCCTGCAGCTGAGCACTCAGTGGAATTCCCACCCTGAGCACCCCTAAAAAACCCCAAACTTCACATACTTATGGGAAATGGTTTCAGCCGCAAGACCCTGCCAGCTCTGGTAACGACGCTGGCACAGGCCAGTGCCTGGGAACTCCCTGGGACTTGGGCTGAGTACTCCAGCACCAGGCTCCCTTCCCGCAACGGCCACGGAGGGGGACAGTGCCCGTCCCAACACGCTTTTCTCTTCTTCCTTGTTCTAGTTCTGCACCGGGAACAACGTCACCGATGACTATGACTCCAATACCACCATCGACTACACCATGTTCGAGACCCTGTGCGAGAAGGAGGAAGTCCGTAACTTCCGCGCCGCCTTCCTCCCCGCCATGTACTCCCTCATCTGCTTCACGGGGCTGCTGGGCAACGGGCTGGTGATGCTCACCTACATCTACTTCAAGAGGCTCAAGACCATGACGGACATCTATTTGCTGAACCTGGCTTTTTGACCCTCCCTTTCTGGGCCACAAGCGCAGCCATGTACTGGCTTTTTGGGGAGTTTGCCTGCAAAGCCGTCTACTGCATCTGCAAAATGAGTTTCTTCAGCGGGATGCTGCTCCTCCTGTCCATCAGCATCGACAGGTACTTTGCCATCGTTCAGGCTGCCTCAGCCCACCGCTTCCGTCCCAGGATGATATTCATTAGCAAAGTCACGTGCGTCCTCATTTGGCTCCTGGCCTTCATCCTCTCAATCCCTGAGCTGGTTCACAGTGGTGTAAATAACTTGGACAACCATCCCCGTTGTTCCATCATCGCTAATGACTTGCAGACCTTCAACACTGGTATCAAAGTGTCCCAAATGGTTTTTGGCTTCTTATTTCCCCTACTGGTCATGTCTGTCTGCTACCTCATCATCATCAAGACATTGCTCCAGGCCCGCAACTTTGAGAAGAATAAAGCCATCAAGGTCATCATCGCCGTGGTAATTGTCTTCGTCGTTTTCCAGCTGCCCTACAACGGCGTCATGCTGGCCAAGACCATCTCAGCCTTCAACCACACCAGCTCGTGCGAGGAGAGCAAGAAGCTTGACATGGCAGATGACGTGACCTACACTCTGGCCTGCTTCCGATGTTGTCTCAATCCTTTCCTCTACGCCTTCATCGGCGTCAAATTCCGCAACGACCTCTTCAAGCTGCTGAAGGAGCTGGGCTGCCTGAGCCAGGAGCGGCTCTGGCAACTCTCCACCTGCCGTGAGAGCAAGAGGTTCTCCTTTGCCATGGAGACAGAGACAACCACCACCTTCTCCCCGTAAGCCCAGCTCCCGGCAGGCATTGACCAAGCTGGTACAGTTTGTACACTTCCCTGTTCTGAATGACTGGTAGAGCGAGACCTGCCACAACTGCAGGAAAGACAGCTCTAAGAGGGAAACCCTGTCCGTATTTCGGTCAGCAAGCACTGCTAGCCAACACTCCCATGGACGGAGACACCTCAGTAAAGCCGTGACTAACAGCAAAGCAGGGGAGACCGGTGAGTCTGGAATTTATCATGCCATTTCACCTTTATTTTAATCTTTCCCAGTCAAAATGAGAAATGCTTAAAATAGAACATTTCCCCTAAAAGTGACACATACCAAGACAGACATTTGTGCAACAGAATTGCTTGGTTTAGAGCTCAACTTCCAAGAGCATCATCGTGGCTTTGAACGTTGCTTTAACAAGACTACTATTGCTCTTCCACACCTACAAAAATGATGCCCGTTGCACTGACTCTGTCAAGCCAAAACAGCACCAGCAGCCTCAGGCTCCGAGCTTAATCCAATGCACAGTATAAGCTGTGAAGTATCCTAGCACACAACTCTGCCTTGCCTTCCCCTGTGAAAAGTGAGAAATTTCCATAACTAATACTAAATCCATACACGTAATATACACCATCTCAGTAACTCCGAATACTATTGTGGCAAACGCATATGTCTGCCAGGAAAAGCACAAATCCCACTTCACCTCTGCCTGTATCCGGTGTTTCACCTACAAAGAATGTGCATCCTAAGGAGCACAAGTTATTCCATCCCGACGCTGACTTGAATTCTTTAGAAATTCTGCTCCACACTGGAAATTGTCTCCTTTAGCTTCAGAAAAGGGCATCTGCCTGCACAAGGCTGACGCACGGGGAGCTACCGCAGTTCGGATTCGAACTTTCTGCACAGACAAATTAGTTACAAGCTCCAAATAACCGACGTCTTTCCAGTCACCGAGTGTACACCCTAAACGAAGAAACAGGTACTTCTGCACCCAGCCAGCCAGGTGCTTCACACAGATTTTTACCATTCGGCCACCCGGCCTGCCCCGGTGTCATCCCTACTCCCGACGAGAAGGACTGTTGGCTCACTCCCTCGATACAAAGCGTGTTTGATAGGACTGGTGCCTGAACCCTCAGAACTGTAAAGATTCACGCTCAGGGAAAACCTGTATGCCTTTCTTAAGGCAAGACATTTGAATTCAGGACATAGCTGTGCCCATGCTCCAACCACTTCAGTCTGCCGGGATCTGAAGCTTGCTCGTACCTAGCGTTACGGGCTGCTGCGGACGCTGCCTGCCGATTCTCACACGTGCGCGGGGGCCAAACGCGCCATTGCTTGCTGACCTCAAGAGATAAACAAGAATGTGGGTTCTCTTCTCCCTTCCCAATCAACCTATCTTTCTAGAAGGACTTCAGCAGCTGGCTGTGAAGTCAGGTATGTATGTCACTTATAAGCTATTTGAAAACCTGTTTTCCACTCATAGTGCCAGTGCTAATACAGATGCCATTCACTGTGGTTTGATTAAACTGCAAAGGACGGTCACGTGCTGGAGATCACTGCCAGGATCACCTACTTGAAAGGAACATGGCAGCTGAACAACAGATGATTCTCCTGCAAAGTCAGACCTTGAAAAGAAGCCCAGAATGTAACGCCAGTTGGTGCTTTTACTAGAAGAGCAGAGATTCCTAGCGACAGATAATGGGAACTGGCCAACCGGGGAGGAGCTGCTGCCATCGTCTGTGTGTCTTGTTGCTGACCTGTGAGCTCCGATCCCCGTAGCCAGGCTCAGCGGTGAAAGGCCCTGGCCAGGAGCCGCTCCTGGTGCGGGGCAGGAGTGGGCTTGGACAGACTCATGCCCCAGAGAAATTCTGGGGACACTGCAAGGCACATTCCAGTGGACATGAGGGGCAAAACACACTTACTAAAAAGACACGTATACTTTCTTAATACCACACGTGGCTGCCATCATAATTAAATAAATTCTTCCTAAACCATTTGGCTCTGGGGTATGGGATTTTGCCAAAAGCTGGGATTCAGGAATTCACATTCTGCTCCGCACTGCCTGTCTACGCCTAAGTACAATCCCATCCAACTGTTTAACGCCCACGTAAGGTGTACAGATGTGCTGCTTCTCTGTCCTGTGAAACGGGGGGTTACAACTGACACCGAGTAGTCATTTGTTCTTGGTTTGTTCCTACAATCCTTGCTCAGGCAAGGCACTCTGCTAACGAGAACCCTGCCAGAGCAAGGAACACCCATAATACAGGGTCTTTTTAAGTTTTCCTCATCAGTAATGATATCTTCTTAATGTAGACTCACACATGTAAAGCTGCTTTACACAGAAAAAATTAAATATATACATGAATGTACCCTGAAAATACACTGCTTTAACTAAAAATTACTATGCAAAATACATCCACCTATGGTGCATGCTTCACCAAAACATGCAGTTGTACTTGTCTCCTGTTTGATAACAGCCATTCCCCTTCCACAAGCTGAAAAGTCTTCAGGTCTTTATCAACTCGATGTATTCTAAGTAGGAAAACACACGGCAGCTTCCATGGAGATGAGATACTAAAAGCATCAGCCGAGACAGCTGCAGCTGGTGCCTCCTCCACAAGGCAGCAGTGACTTCAGGGTGCATGGCTTTTGTTGCTGTTGGTTTTTTTTTTAATTTAACAGACAGAACCACTTTGCCATTTATTCAGATGAATCACGTTAACACTGGCCTAAGATCCTAACTTGAATTTCCCACTGAAGTCTGAAAACTGACTGTATTTTGCTACTTGTGGAAAATAAATTATAACAATTAAAAAAACAATACCTTCGTTTATCCAGTTATTTCCTCCATAGGAAGTTTCTTGCGTGTATCAGTCGTTCATCCTTCTGGTCCCGCCGCAAGCTGTTTGTTGATGAACCTAGCTTCATACCAGTACTGCCCTGCAGGATAACAAGCACGTAAAATAAACTAATTAGGGAAAAAAAGTTGATTTATTTCATCTGTTGATGAATTACATGGTAAACAAGCCAACAACAGATTAAATAATTGTCTTCATTTTAATTATTAACCCAACTGCCTTAACACTATGGGGTAGACCTGATGGCTACTTATCAACGTTTCTGTGAAAAGCCTTTATGTTGTAACATTTCACTTTAAATTTAAAACGTCAGTAATGAAACACAGTGTTACCGTGCAAATTGCTCCCAGGAGAGGCAGTGACCGCAGCCCTGGCAGGCAGAACACCTACGTACCAGGAAAGAGGAGTGATTACCATGCTGGTTGAGATGGGCTGTCCATCCAGTCCAGCCCTGCAACTCAAACAGGCCAACGTGGTGTGATTAACGTGCACAGAACACATCTTCCTGACCTCTCCAGTTAATTTATGCCTCGAGGCACACAGGGACAATGGATATCCTTCACAGAAAGTGTGTTGTAATTGCAACCATGGAATCAAAGAGGAAGGAACCTCAATGAAAACCAGAAGACATGAAGCTTTACGTTTGAGTGCCAAAACTGAATACCATTTCTGCTTTCACTAAACAATGCGTGTAGCTCATGGTTTCACCCCAGAGAGAAAGTATTAGGCTAGTTTCAGCATCCGGCCCAGAGGTTCAAGCAGCAATAAGGAACATCTCAGCACCACAACACAACTCTAGATAATAACAGTCTAAACCCCAGCTCCTAAAATAAACATTCGGTCTCACTTACCACAACCAGCTCGAAGCCTCAACTGCCCTGAGCCCAGGAGCTCATCGGTGTCAGAGATGCAGCCTGCAGAAACAGGAGCTCTGACCGAGAGCGCACAGCATACGGAACAACTGGGGATGGGCAAAGAGCCACCCTGCTTTTAACAACTCCCTGCAAAGACTGTGGGACAAGCCTTCAAACAGGACAGTTCCTACATGTGAAGAAAACAGAGACTCCAACATACAGCCCTAATAGAAACCAGTAAAACTCAGCCCACCAATCAACCACCCAAGTACACACTTCTGGCCACAAATATCCCATAACCTGTTACAGATAAAAGGTCCATCCCTAGGACTGATTTAACCCATTTCAGTACCTTTCACCAGCAAGACAGAGAAGTTTCCTCTCACAGTTCACTGGGGAACTGGGATCAACCTCAGTCTTAGACCTTTTCCGAAGTCAATTAAACCTGTCCCTCATTACAGAAAGGGGCCACCAGTCTGCAATAAACTACACCAAACACAGGAGGGACATCTACCACCCAGCCACAGTCGTGTGGACCCCAGGTGGTTCCTGCAATCCCTTCTCCACGTGTTTGTGGGAAGCCTCTTCATCACTCAGAAACTGGGATCAACCTCAGTCTTAGACCTTTTCCGAAGTCAATTAAACCTGTCCCTCATTACAGAAAGGGGCCACCAGTCTGCAATAAACTACACCAAACACAGGAGGGACATCTACCACCCAGCCACAGTCGTGTGGACCCCAGGTGGTTCCTGCAATCCCTTCTCCACGTGTTTGTGGGAAGCCTCTTCATCACTCAGAAGCCCTGGGAGGTGGTTCCTGCAATCCCTTCTCCATGTGTTTGTGGGAAACCTCTTCATCACTCCAAGGAGAGCCCTGGGCTCCTCCTTGTACCACTGCTGATCACTCCTCCCCTGCCAGATTTTTACCTATGCACGTGGGCTAGTCGGTATTTTTAAGAAAAGCCTTTGGTGCCAAACAGATCTGGGCTGGGCAGGAGGTAAAGTGGAATTAGGGGGAAGTAAACTGGAACGAGGCCTCTCTAAATGCAGTTGCATCCACCTCGGAGCAGGCACTGGTTTGTCCCCTCCCTTCCCGTGCCGTCCCAGGCACTGCTTCCCATCACTTGCTGGTGAATGAACTGGCTAATGCGAAGGGGAAGCTTCTCCCGGCACGGCTGTGGCTGCTGGGGTGCCACCTGGGAGGCTGCGGGAGGGAAGGGCTTGTCACCCTAAGAAAGAAGGAGCTGGAGCTGAGGGAGGCAAACAAATGCTAAAAATAATGCACGTGGGTGATGAGGAAGGGT